AGGGGTAAAAAAAGGTGAAGGGGAATATAGTCAATAATACTGTGATAAGTTTGCACTGTGATAGGTGATCACCGGAATTGGTGGGGTGATCACACTGTAAGGTATAAAACTGTTGAATCACTATACTGTACACCTGAAACTAATATAACTAACATAATATTATATACTGACTATACTTAAATAAAAAAACTAAATAACAATTTTGAGCAATATAAAAGGTTTCCTCAGTCTTTCATATATAATCTCAATGGAAGAAGCATTTTTTAATCCACTAGACATTTAAAGTGGGAGGTGGATTTATTGTGAACTTTTGAGACTGTATGACATGCGTTACATAAAATGTATAATCCAAAAATGTGAATAAGCTTAATTAAAGTAACTGGAATGTAGGTGACTATAATTTTCTTATAGTTAAAGTAGAATTATACCAAGTTTTAATTTAATATTAAAATTCATATTAATTTTAACAGGCTTAAAAGACATATAACCTTAAAAAAGTAATTAGTAAGTAATACTATGTTATCAAATTTGATAGCTTATAGCAGTGGTTTTCAGAATTTTGCAGTAGAACTCCTTTAATAAGAAAAAATTTACCTAAAAGTTTTCTATATAATAAAAGAGATCAATGTAAAGCTACTTGGCTAAAGTGCTAGAGTCCAGAGACCTGCCTACTCAGCACTTCCTTCATTCTCAAGGCTACATGAAGGCAGGGACAGTGCCTACCTCTTTCACAAGGGTATAGCCAGAGCCTGGCACTCAGCAATAACTCAAGAAATACTTGAATGAATGAATAAGATATAAATTAATGGGAAAAAAGAGTGAATGTCATTGATGCACAGTAATTATCCAATCTAGAATTCTTGTTTCAAGTTTTTTGTTATGCCTCCTTTCGATAGCAACTTCAAAGCAGATTTACTTAAAAAGATACAACCAGTGCAGAAAGGTCAAGGGAAAAAGTGAGCTTGATTCATATCAAAACACTGTACTAGAAGTTGTAGGGTGAACAAAAATATATAAGAGAATGTTCCTCTCCTCCATGAACTTCCCATTAAGTGAGAAAAAGACACTCACACTCAATTAGTAAGTCCAAAACAAGATGGACTATGATAAATGGTACAAAAGAGAAATAAAACTCCGAAAATCTTTATTTATTTTATGCAAATTCCAACAGGGAAGAATTTGGGGAGACTTCCTGAAGAAGGCAGTACCTGATCTGACTCCTGAAAAATAGGCAGAATCTCAATATGTGAACCTAAAAAAAGTACATTTCTGGTAGGGAAAAGAACAGAACAAATGAATGAAAACAGAAAAGTACCTCAGGGAACAGCAAGTTAACTGGGCTAAATCTTTAGGCCTCCCATAGTAAAGAAAGAGATACTACTGTAAAGGGAGATTCAAAACAGTTTTACAAGGCCACCATGACACAGTACCCACGTAGCACTGGGAATAACAGACTTCATTAAGATTAGCATACCTAAGTGCTATAATCAAATCAAGCTCATACTTACAAGGTCATTCATATTATTTTGGCTAGCTGGATTGATTTCTTCCAAAAATTCCAAGACATAAAATGTGTATCTATCCATAAGGTGAACTCCAATGGCAGGATCAGGTTGATGCTATGAAAAAGCAAAGCGTATACAATGGCGTAGTATTCAACCATAGGCAGAATAAAGTGGATGAACCTTGAGGGCAGTGAGCTAAGTGAAATAAGGCAGAGAAAGATACTATATGATCTCACTTACATGTGGAACAAAAGTAAGTAAAAATAAAACAAGCTCATAGATACAGAGAACAGATTTGGCTGTTGCCAGAATCATGGGAGTGGAGGGTGGGCCAAATGGCTAAAGGGAGTCAAAAGGTACAAGCCTCCAGTTGTAAAAAAATAAGTCATGAGTATATAGCGTATAACATGGCAACTATCATTAATAACATTGTATCGCATATTTGAAAGTTGCTAAGAGAGCAGATCTTAAAAGTTCCATTATATAAAAAAAAATTCTCTGTCTACGGTGACAGATGTTAAATATACTTATTGTGGTGATTATTTCACAATACACAAATATCAAATCATGTTATACACCTGACACCAATATAATGTTGTACTTCAATTACACCACAATAAAAATCTTATATGCATATAAACTGGGGGGGAGTCAGATTCAGGGAGGAAGGGATCAATGGGGGGAAAAAGAGGGACATCTGTAATTCTTTCAACAATAAAGATAAATTTTTTTAAAAAAAGGTGTACAAATTGGTAGTTACAAAACAGTCACAGAGGTGTAAATCACAGCATAGAGAATATAGTCAATAATACTGTAAAAACTATGTGTGGTGCCAGGTGGGTACTTGAAATATAAAGGGAATCACTTTGTAAAGTACATGATTATTTAACTACTATGTTGTACACCTGAAACTAAAACCAAATAATACTGAATGTAAACTGTAATTGAAAAATGTTTTTAAAAATTAATAAAAAGAAAAAAAATTTTATTAAAAGCAAAGCAAAAAAGTGTATGTCTAATAGCATCATTATAACAAATGTTTTAAATGTAGTCAAAATTTCCTTGTGTTAAAAAAAAACTAAGAAATAGAAGATATACTCATTAAGCATATGAGCAATTTGAGAAATAGCTACACATTCCAAAGACAATGCAGTTTACAAATGGGAAAAATCACCTACCGAGAGTGAATCTTCTCCCACTTGGCTACTAGCCAAAGCCATTATGTTAGGAGAATAAAACCGCTCATACATGGATGCTCCTTGACAAGTATCAATAATAAACAGCAGCTCGTTGTAGCTGAAAGAAAAGTGATAATATCTTTGACATGAATCATGCTGTTAATCATACATTGACTAGTACTTTTACAATACTTCCATAACATAATGTTGAAGTTATATCTTAGTCATTTCATAGTTAAAAATTGAGACTTCTCAGTAGAATTCCCAGTACAAATCTGACATTAGAAATATTAAAGGTATAGTTCTGTCCAGGAAAACCACAACAGGGAGTGGTGGTCGTGCTCCCACTCTGACTCCCCCCTTACCACTGCCACACAATTCAGAATCCAAATGAATACTGAATATTGAATTCAACACACATATTTGGTACTCAAACTGCCCTGAGTTTTTCTTTTAAAAATAACTCCAAAATAAATCTAAAAGAAATAATTCAAATAAATTAAAATCTCATAAAATAAGATCTACAAATCTAGTAACCATGGAAAAATTAGGTATTAACTTATCTTGTGAAAAGTAGTTATTTGCTAATTACCGTCTTTTCTGCCACATTTGTTCAAAAGCATCTGCAAGCTCTATGTTGGTAATTTCTTCAGAGTCTTGAAATTTCAAGAAACCATTTCCACCATGTCCTTAAAGGAAGAGTCCAAAAGATCAAATAAATACATTTTTCAATGCAAACTGCATACATCCAGATATAAATATTTACTTCACTCATGGCGATTTTTAATACTATTTATTATTTTATACTCTAAAGTGAAAAATACTATGAAAACAAATAAATTTAGTTTTATACCAACTAAAAAGAGAATAATGATAGACTGTATAAAAATACTGGATATAATACCTTTAAGAGTTTTTCTATCATTCAATTATAGAAACACACATTTATTTTTTTCCACTGGCTCCATTATTAAGCTTAGTAAGTGTAAACAGATGCTGGATTTCAGCTGCCACTCATCTCCCTGCCCAGACTCCTGTGCAGTGCACGACCCACACAACTGTGTATCAGCTCTGAATATCAGCACCTAAATCTCTGAGTTGCTGTGAGGATGAAATGAATTACAGTGGTTCAGAATATCACTTTACACACAGTAAAACTCAATAAATACTGGCTACTATCATTTTTATTATCACATTATAATTATCAACCCTCTTATTCTCTTCCATGGGTTGGCAAACTTCTTCTGGGGCCAGGGCCATAATATAGTTAAATAATTAACTATATTATGGAGGACTTTATCTACAATAATCATCAAAGTATAGACAAAAGGCTACAGCAGCTCATATTGGGGAAGTATATTTAAAATGCAGTTTCATGAGCCACACTCTGGAGCAAAACTAATTCAGAATTTCAGGAAAAGGCCTAAGTAGCTGCATTTGGGTAATCCTTATACACACTAAAACTTGAGACTCCATCACTGGAAACCAGAGGTTTAAGAAGAGGGGGGACAGATTTGCAATTTCTATTAAATACTTTAATAGGATGATTAACAGGAGACAAAACTGGAGGCAAAGAGGCTACAACAGGATACTAAATAAAAGGTAGTAAGCTTTACCAGGTAACAGTAAAAAGAATAGAAATAAGAAACTAAGGGACGGCACAAAATGTTACACTATTTTCAAGTATTATTTCACGTTGTTATACGAGAAAAGAGAACTACATAACAAATGATTTTAACCAAAAACCATTTAAGTTGTTTAAATTTCTTTCTATGCAAATTTCTTGTTGAAAAGAGTAGCAATATATTCTATTATTAAGTATCTAAATTCTGAAATTACCTGTCATATAAATAAGAATATTGCTCCTATCATCAGAAAGAAGACGTTTTGACCGAGGAGTACTAGGTGGGATCCTCCCAGTTAATACTCGCAAAAAATTCTCCACGGTTACCTGGGGGGGAAAAGTGAGAAATCGGATAAAATAGAACTTAGGGAAACCTGATAATTTTTTTTTGTTTTACTTTCAAAAACATCCTTTATCCTTTCTCTATGTATTACTCAGCATAAACTGAAAATAAAACACAAGCTCAAATATATATTTATTTGAGAGAAAAAAGCTCAAAATATATTTATTTAAATATACACGTCAAAGTTACTGTACTTACTGCTTCCACTGAAAAGTATATACTAAAAACTAACAAGTAAAAACTACTTGGAGGGGGAAAAAGTTAATTCTAAGTTTAAAACTTTAAAGCTATGCAAAGTATTGCCAAAAACTTAAAATTATAAATCTGTCTTCATAGGCAATTCTTTTGGAAGATAAAAAATATATAGAAACTTGTAAATAAATTCAGCTACATAACTATTGCAGTTAATCTGTACAACTACTTAGTCAATTCTAGATTAACCGTAAAAGACATTCCACAATAAATCAGTTTGATTTTTTTAGTGCATTTTGTTACTTAAATTTCACTAAGGATATCTTTAACATGTAAAAAATTCATACTACTTTACCTAGATCTCCCAACCTGGAATTTCTGGACCTCTGGGTTCTTTGAAAGCATATTTAGTCACTGGAGAATGTGATGCTAATTTAAAGTTACAGTATTCAGATCTAAATTTAAAAAACAGGAAACCTGTCCTAGTCACTGTTGTTCAATGGTTAGAGCAACGGCCTGCACACCGAAGGCTTGCAGGTTCAATTCCCAGTCAAGGGCACGTACTTGGGTTGCAGGTTCGATCCCTAACTGAGGTCCCCAGCCAGTCCAGGTGAGTGCAGGAGGTGATCAATTGATGTGTGTCTCCCAAATCAACATTTCTCGCTCTCTTCTCTTCCTCCCTCCCTCCCACTCTCTAAAAATCTCTAGATCATGGGTATATATAAGAGTGTATATGTGTGTGTAAGCTCTTTGGTTTAAATTTATCCCAGAAGACAGCAAAATGTTAAGTGTTTTAACAGAACTTCTTATTGGCTAACAAGGAAGGAAAATTTTTGGTCTACATTTTATAATGACTAAATAAACAAGTAAAAAGTCCAACATTCATACACATTTAATTGTTGAACAAACATTCTTTAATGCTTCAAAGGGCTATAGGTACTTGCTAGATATAAGATAAGTAAAATATAAGCCACGTCCTCAAGGATCTTACAGCCTGGGAGGAGATAGATATACTTTTTAAATTGCTGCAAAACAAATCTGGGAACACAGGAAATTGTGTCTTACTTTTGGTAGGCTTGGTAAAAGAAGGATTGTCAAGGAAGACTTCATCAAACAATACTTCAAATTTTAAACGTATTCACAATCTATTAAACTTTCACAGGAGAAAATATAGTATAATGCTACTATTCAAATTTACATTTTTATTTTTAATCATATATGCACAAAAACACTAGAAGCATATTAAAACTGGTTAACTCTAAGTAGTGGAAATATTGGTGAATTTTTTGTTAGTCATTTTAATTTTTCCACAATTAATATATTTACTAAAAATATAAAACTTAAAATTTTAGATCAAATGTGAAAAACAAATAATACATTTACTGTAAAAGTTAATACATGAAACCTCACTAAAATACTCATAAAAACCAAGATAAAATTGTTTTATCCTAAATACATATTTAAACTATTCATGTTGTGATAGTTTTACTTATAGTTTCCTTAATATGAACTCCAGAGACAAAATCATTATCAAGGCTTCAGTAACAATTATGTACCAAGTTCAAAGACAAAAAATAAGACCTTTATTCTACCACTATTTTAGATCTTAAAAGTAACAATAACTACATTTCAAAAATGTTGCTAAATTAAACAATTTACCTCATAACTTCTATAATCTACTTCCACATCATCTCCATATACATTTAGTTCCATATTCTTGTGACTAAATACTGTAGCTGGTTTGGGATTCCTAGGGTTGCAGGCCATATCATCTGCAAGCATCAGAACAATGTGGCTAGACAAAAAAAATCCAGAAAATACATTATTTAAAACCAAAAAGTTAAAAACAGATACATTTTGTTTATATCATGTGGCAATTATTTTCACTCTTATCTTCATTAAAAATAATTATTGTGTACATATTTAAAAGAACTATTTTTTTCAGTATAAGTTTTAAAGTAGAGAAATTGGAGAAATCTGGCATGAATTTACCCGCAGAACTTGAAGTTACTCATTTAAATTTTTTTCCTGTTTTATTTTCTACAGGTAATTTATGAATCTGAAATCCCCATCATTTCCCACCCCCACCCCCATCAGAATACAAACTTTCTGAGGGCAGGGATTTCTCTATCCTACTCACCACTGTAACACTCTGGATTAGTAAGTGATAGAGCCTGGGATATCATATGTTGAGTGAATGAAATATTTTCATTCTTGCATATATTTTCTTTGAGGGAAAATTACAAAATTTAATCTTACCATTAAAACTACTGGACATGACTCAGACAATTCTTTATTCTACCATATACTTGAGCTTCCCAAACATAAAGGGAACATTAATGTGGCATATGCACTAGCTTGGCAGGAGATAACAAGAAGAAAATGTTCTGCTGCATATGTTCCAAATACATTAAAGTTCAAAACTGAATCATTGTGATTTTTCTTGAAAATTGGCTAGATTTGTATTTTGAAAGGGTTCCAACTCTGCCACATTCAAAGATCACATCTTCAGCTGTTACTGATTCATATTCACAGAATGATGAAAGATATTCCTCTTAAAATGGAAAATATATCTTCTTTTTAATAATTTAAGATGATTAACTTACATTAAGTTATTAATCATATCTTTTTTGTTATCAGCCACTATTAAATAAGACTGAACTGACCTCCTAATCTCAGTATAAAAATAAGAATATTCCTTTAGGTTATGTTTATGGTTTAAGATTCAATATCTACCCAATGTCTATATCATAAAGCAGTAATTTCAGCTTCAAATTATAAATTCAATCAACATTTTTCCTACAGATGTTTTAACCTATTTTTCAATTACAGATGACATACAATATTATATTAGTTTCAAGTTTTCCTACAGATATTTTTGAGCCTCAGTATAAGTACTATAACCATCTGTTAATATAATCAATATATCATTTAAAAACCATTATATTTGTGGATAATAAATGAAAAATAGGACAGGAAATAGACTGGATTTTAAAGGTTTAGAAGTCCAACCAGACACTCTGTTCAGTTTCTAAAACTTAAAAAAACATTCAGAACTGTTTTCTGGAAGGAAAAAAAAAAATTTCTCACTTGGTCCAAGCGTTAAATTATTTGTATGATACTTGAATATATACATGAAGGTAAACTCCTTAGGCTTATAGTTCTTATAAAACTATAAATAAATATCAAATTATAAATTAAACAAAACTACAAAACTAATAATACTTTAAAAACATTAATTCCATTTGAAGGATGATAGTATTTTGCTAAAACTAAATGACTACTGTTATATTTAACAGGAGAAAGAGAGAACATCAGGCCTGGCTCTAGTTCATATTTTTCTCTATTTTGACATCCACACTACAATATAATTTGATGATATGGGAAGTCTGTTCACCAAAATATGTTGTACAAAATGCAATTCATAACTTCCAGACTCTGTTTACTTTTCAGGAGCATCAGATCTTATATTTAACTACACTTTTGCCAATAAACATTCTTTGAACACCAGTTATCTTGAGATCTAACTTGACTCCTTAAAGTGTCTTTTTCACTTGAATACCAGGTTAGCGTCACAGCAGTTATTTAAGTCTTCACTGAGTGGGTATTGAATCACTGCTGGAATTAAAACCAAGACAATCCACACTGAAGACATACTACTCTATCCCTATAAATAATAATAGGAAGTTGTATCTTATTAAAATTAAGACAAAATCCTTCAAATATATCCAATCAATACAAGAATATGGTATTCTTAGAGTTTGTCAATTTTGTACTACCAGGCGTGATGACTCAATTTTTATTCAAGACCCTACAAAAACGTCCATCACACAACAAAGCATCAGTGATAGGCCTTCTCTCAACACAAAACCAAAATAATAAGTGAGAACTGAAATTGTATGAAGTTCAAACTGGGTTTGAATCCAAACAATACAGTGGTTATTTACATACGTAGTTTTCATATTTTTTAAATCATGCACTCCAAGTAAAAAAAAAAAAATGTGAGGTCAAACCCATATATATCTGCTAATTTCTAAGTCATATGTATTTACTACTTTAAATATATATAATAAATATCAGTGAAGCATAATTTCTTTCCTTTTATAGATTAAAAAAAAAGAAACTGGTAATATTTTCTTCCCTTACCACTCTTTGGATATAGTCTAAATAGAATAATTTGATCATGATTTTACAGATTATAAAAATGAGAACTATAAAAATGAAAATTTAAAACTTGTCAAAAAAGAAATGTATGTGTGTGGGGGGCGGTTCTAAAGAAATACTTTCTCATTACCATCTTTGCCAAACATTGAAGGAACAGGTAAGCCCTGCATTGGGACTGCTAGGGCCCTTTACCCATCTCCCTGAAGTTCTTCCTTGGCCCAATCAGGTACCAGGAGGCAGGAACCAGTGGGTTAAAATATATATTTTAATAGATGAATACTCTTTTACCACCATAGACCCTTAGAGTGTGAAATTTCAGAAACCGTAACTTTTCATTTATAATGGACTGATAACCTTAATAAAAATTTTTCACTGAAATTAATTTAAATAAATTACTACATATTGGTCAAAAGGTTTTTAAACTATTCACTTAAAATTGCTATACATTCTAAAGCCATGCTACTAATCAGGTAATACTACCATAGAGCACCTTTAGCCACCAGAGCTAGGATCACCAGGCTTATCTGCAACAACATCACCGTTCCCACCCAGAACAACAGCTGAAGTTAAAGCAGCAGGCTCAGGATCACAGGGATCTTCGATGCTCTCTTAAATCTCAGGGTTTCTGCTCATGGGTGTCTTTTTTTTTTTCCCCCTGACATAAATTATTCAGGATACTCAGTATATTATTGCTTCTTCAGGAATTTAATGACTGTTGGATCAAGCAAATGCAACAAATTTTGTTATTTCACCATTAGCTTGACGCCAGACTAATTCGCTGTTAGGCTTCTCTTTCTCCTCTCCCATGTGCTGAGAAACCTCCAAGTTAATAAATCCTGCCACCGAGGCACCATGAGCTAAGCATAACAATCCTATTAGCCGCAGGTGCTAGGTCATCAAGACTTTAGGAATTACTTTCAACTTGCCAAATGTCAAACAATTAGCATTACTAGACTATATGACACCAGGTATTTTGAACTTATTAAAAATAAAACTCAAGAAACTGCACTGCAGTCCGGCCGGGCGTGGCTCAGCAGTTGAGCGTCGACCTAGGATCCAGGAGATCAGGGTTCGATTCCTGGTCGGGGCACATGCCCGGGTTGGGGGCTGCAGCCGATCAGTGACTCTCTCTCTCATCATTGAGGTTTCTCTCTCTCTCTCCCTCTCCCTTCCTCTCTCTGAAATCAATAAAGATACATTTAAACAAAAAAAAGAAAGAAAGAAACTGCACTGCAGAGACAGGAAGTCAACAGCAGCACACATGTTACATGAGGGTACAGTTAGCTAGCTAAGGCTCATATATTCAGAGTCACATGTGTTTTAGTATAATATGATAACTAAAATTTACTGAGCACTTGATATATTTCAAGCACTGCACTAATAAATTAAGCACATTACAAGCATTATCTCATACCCAGTATTTATGCTTTAAACTTCATTACAAATACTTCTTAAATTTTAAATAAAGAAATCATTTAATTTTATAGCTATAGATTTTAAGTATGTTCTTGCCCTTAAAAAACTGAAAAATTTTCCCAAAACCTTTTTAATTACAATAAAACCTGACTAAGAATGCTTGAGGTGCCTCTGTAAACACCTGCACTGCCTCCATCCTGCATGTGACCACTGTGGACCCCTTGCCCTGTGGCCACAGCCACTGCGCCTATGTCACTGCCACCTCAGTACCCACTGTGTATGATTAAGCCACAATTTTCAAGGACTAAACATATTCCTTTTTGTCACCACACGTTTATGGAGTTTCTGAAGGACAATGAAGATTACTACCAAGCAGAGCATAACCTTTATGAGGACAAGAGAACTGTAAAAAGTTGTTGCTATTTCACCAAGAAGCCACGCAAGAGCAGTTAACCTGTACACAGAAGTGTTGAATTGAAATATGCACAGCATTTTCCAGTTCTGACCTCAATGGATTAAGTCTCAGTGCCCTTCCTTTCTATTGCTCAGTATTACGGACTGAAGATTTGCTTCTTGTTTGGAGGTTCATTTAATTTCCCACTGCTCCTAGCTTCAAAGCACTGAGAATTTCAAGTGGAGTACGTTGAAGTTTCTTTACATCATTTCTGTATTTGCTTTTTAAAATTCTTTCATAACCCCTTATTCTGTAACTAAACTAACATCACTTGAGAGAACTGCCTCCCCATGAAGTCACATACAAACACATGATATTTCTTTTATATGCAATACAACCAATGAGACCTTAAACGAAGTTATTGAGAAACTTAAGTATAGAGTTACCACAATAGTAAGAGCATGTAAAGCAATCTATGACACAGTTCTTATAGAAAAAGAAGGCACCCATGTTCTTGACTGGCTTTTAACGAAGGTGCACCACCTCCCAAACTAGATTGTTGATGACTGGTTAAGTCTTGTAAAAAAAATCAAGTTTTGTGAAGAACATGGTTGTTCATTATGTTACAGCCTCAGGAGAGCTCCATGCTTGTTGCCCCGAGATTAACAGAAGGTGGGATGAAACATGAAGATGCAGTAAAGATCGTAAGACAAAAGCAGCGTGGAGCTTTTAATATCAAGCAACTTGTGTATTTAGAGAAGTATCACTCTAAAATGTGTCTGTGCTGCAAAAACTTCAACAGCCAATAAAACCGGGGGTGCATCATGCTACAGTCTTGGAAGTGAGACTTCAGACGTGATCTAATTTGTTGTACATATTAGCCAAGAAGTTAGCTTGGTGAATAAGTCAAAATTAGCTTTTACAAGAACACTGACAGGCAGTTTTACCAGGTTAGATGCTTGACAGAACCTCTATGTTATGATCAACCCATTTAGACACTTAGCGCAAGATTCTTGCTGTTCTGTATTTGAAATGTGCTTATCATTTGAACCAGTTCACCCTTACTGAAATCATATACTGACTTTAAAACTAATCCTGTTTAATAATGCCTTTTCTCTTGCCCAGCCGGCATGGCTCAGTGGTTGAGCAGTGACCCACGAACCAGGAGATCACAGTTCGATTCCTGGTCAGGGCACATGCCCGGGTTGCACACTCAGTCCCAGGTAGGGGGAGTGCAGGAAGCAGCCAATCAATGACTCTCTCATCATTGATGTTTCTATCTCTCTATCTCGCTCTCTTTCTTCCTCTCTCTGAAATCCATAAAAGCATATTTTTAAAAGATAAATAAAATAATGCCTTTTATCTTCCTCATCTTAAGCACATTAAACATACTGGAGATAGTGAAACAGAGGGTTTGTCCAAAACAATTATTTGAGGGCAAAAAATTTCCTAAACATAGTGAAATGTTTCAGGAAGCTGACACCAAGCAAATAACAACAAAATCTCTGAGGTTGGGTAAGATTGCGGAAAGCACGGACACAAAGTGCAAGACGCCTGTCCCCCACGGAACTTAGGTATAAAAATGATAAGAGTCAAGCTGCAGGGCAGTTGTGAATATCTTATGAACATGTCTTTTTATTTTCCCCCATAACCACTGAAATCCCTTTTCCCTGAGTTAATATTTTGAAATAGTATTATAAAATTATGACAACCTATTTATTAAAATGTCTTTTATATCAGATTAACACCTGATAAAAACTAGGCTAACACAATTTCTGTGACAGAAATGTTTTTACTCTAAAGTACAAACTTGTGTTTGTTGTGCCTAACTGATAAAGTATTTCCCAGTCATGTGTTTATCCAATACTCACTGAGCACATACTATGTGGCAGGCACTGTGCTAGATGCTGGAAGTACAAAGTGAAATAAAATACAATCCTTGTTCCCTTCAAGGAATTTATAATCTAATAAGGGAAACACACTAATTAGTATAATCATGTTATAATCAAAGTATACACAGGATACCATAGAAGGAAAAAAGGGGAACAGGAAATGCTTTCTGAAGTATTAAAGTGAATTTGAAAGGTCAGGTAAAAGTTAAAGCTGTGCTTCCTAAACTTGACTGTGTATCAGAACCACATATAGACCTGATCTGGGCCTCACTTCACGTTTAATAAATTAGAATCTCCAGAGGTAAAGCTGAGAAATCAGTATTTTCCACGTGCACCACAAGTGATTTGAAATCAAAGCCAGGGTTAGGCAGCCCTGAACTAGAAGTATAAACAACCACTCCAGACAGAGAGAACAGCTCAAGACCATCAGAGTCTGTGAAATACAGACAAAAGAACAGAGAGAAACCAAAAGCAGTGACATCACTAATGAGACATTTCACACAGGATCTATGGAACTATCAAATTGATGGCAACTTTCAAAAAGGTAATGTGACATGTATTTTAGTAAATGATTTTTGACATGAACTAATTTCTCACTGAAACGAATGGGAAAACTAAATGCAAATACTTCACATTTCAAAACAAACGTAAAATCCTCCTTTAAAAAGGCAAACAAATTTTTTAAAACCCAAAGCTCTAATCCTAATTGTTATTAAATATAGTGACCAATAATTTTTCTCAGTATACATATCTGGAATATGACAGAAGTTATAATAATGTTGTTTTAACTTGAAAAAGTTCCATAATGTATAAAATAAATTCAAATGTATTCTGAATTCAAACTTTAAAACTGAAAATTATTCTTAATGATTTTGTTTCCAAACTGTTAATTTATAATAATTTTTTACTTTCTGAATAAAAATTTACTTGTAATTATATTTTTATACTTAATTCCAGGTAGAAGTAAAGTAGGATAAGTCACCAAATAAGAAGAGTAGTCACCATAATAGTTGAAAAGCCAAACAGACTCTTTTCTTTGATTTCTGTTAGTTAAATAACAAGTGGTTTAAACCATCAACTGTTTAAACCTCCAATTCATTCCCCAACAAAGACTTTATAAACAGAGATGAAGACAGGCAATCACTTGAAACAAGAATAAGCTTTTAAATAATATTCCTCGGAAACATAGGGACAAACCTACTAATTATAAAACATAAAATACATCCTATAGTCATATTCTACTTTTTTTAAATATATTTTTACTGATTTCAGAGACAGGAAGGGAGAGGGAGAGATAGAAACATCAATGATGAGAGTCATTGATCGGCTGCCTCCTGCACGCCCCCCACTGTGGATCAAGCCCTCAAACAGGGCATGTGAGGGGGCCAGAAATCGAACCGTGCTCTCCTGGATCACAGGTCGATGCTCAACCAATGAGCCATGCCAGCTGGGCTAATATTCTACTTATTAAAAGTCCATCTAAATCTTACTTAAACCATTTAAACATTTCCTAATTACTTATAGATCAAATAAAGACTCATTTATCACAGTGAAAACTATTGCCAAACCATACATAGTAGCTCCCTGGAGGAGCACACAGTATAAAAGCAACATGAGTTAAAAACCAAAGGATTAACCATACAGACCTACTAAGGAGGACCAATTAACAAATTATAATAATTGGCTAATTATAAGAATAATACTAGTATACTTGATATAACAAATCACCCTTTCTCAGATTTAATGTGCTTTTTTCAAAAATGATAATTACAGAGTTGCCTTAATTTCTATTTAAAATACAGGAATCCAATTACAGTTCTTGTCAGCTTCCCAGGCTAAAATAATCTATTCACTGCCTTTCTGCTCCTGCAGCACTTTCTACATATCTCTATTTGCTTTTGCTTTTTATTGCAAGTGCCTGAGTCCTGCAAAGAAGGTACTATTATCACCACATAATAGCTGAGGAAACAGGCTTAGCATGGCCAAGTGACTTAACCAAAATCACCACTGAACCCAGATTTCAAACTCAGATTTGTCTGACTGCAAAGCTCTTTCCACACTGTCTCACAGGTAGAGAAACATGGGGCTAAAGAGATCAAACCTAGACAACTGAATTAACTGCACTTTCTTCTACAACTGCTTTGTAATAGCAAAAATAGATCTATCGTACGTGACAGACCAAATGTAGAGGACATATATCTGAGGGTAAAGGTGTGGAGGTTCTGCCTGGTACCTGAACTCCCCCATGGAATTAGGAAATACCCCACTTTATGAGTCTTCATAGAAAGCAGAGCCCACCTCCCTTAACAGAAGCTAGCAATGCCATGTAGTTGTTCTTCCTGTCACTCCCCAACCCCCGGAGCATGAACAAGCGCACTTAATTTACGCTCTGCCAATATGACATCCCTCCAAGGGCTCTTAATTAAGAACTAGAGGCTGTAAGAAGCTGAGACAGCAAAGGCTGGATGCTGACAGCAGGCAGGAGTACCAACATTAAGTTTCCAAAGGCAACAGCAGCAGCTATGCAGTAGCTGACTGAGTCTAGACTTCAGCAATTCACAGCTATATTACTATCAATGGATTGGTTTTATGTCATCGTTTTTAGAAATTTCTTCTATGCTACCTGGTCTTCCTTATTCCTGACTATTTAAAGCTACAGCCTTTCCATCAATTTGGTATACTAATCAATATGTTTTCAGTAAATTCCTTTTCTACTTCAATCAGTCAAAATTGTCTTCTGTTGTCTACAATTAAAACCCCACATTGAGGCATTTAATGATTAAATAAATGACACTAAACAATTGTACTTTATCAAATATTTTTACCTTAGTACTGATTGATGTTTTATATAATTTACCATCATGGTCTTAAGTAAGTTACTTTATACATGATGGTATGTTCTAACAACAATAAAAAGAAACAAACCTTCAAGTTTCCTTATCTTTTTCAAAAGCAGCACAAAAATACAAATATAATAACAATGATACAAGGGTGGTTTTTACTAAAGTTCAGAGTTAAGCTTTATTAGAATTCTTACCTGTCAGGAATACCTAGCCTCTTCACACTTCTATACACAGAAAGAGTATTTGCAACATGTCGATAATTAAACCAGAATCGGGATGTACACACCTAAAGTATTAAAACAGATATATTATTTTTGAATCAAAATAAGCCACAAAGTTACAGAATTCTTTCTCTTTAGGTAAGATAAAGAGATGTCTAAAGAAAGAGTATATCATAATCCAGGCTTAGAAACAGCAAGGCACATAAAGAATTGTCAATAAAACCAGTATCTCTAGAGAGAGGTCTTTCATAACTAGCATTAAATAAAAAGACCACTCAGCTTAAGAGAAAACAAATCTTTGGGGAATTCAATCAAATGTGAACCAACTTATTTACCTTCAATTTATATGATTCTATAATGTTCTCATTTCTAAAAGATTAAAATCAAAGACAGTGCACATAATCCCTTCACAGAATAGGGAAAAAAATAGCTACCTTGGGTTATATAATATGCCTTTTACTCTAGATTGCTTCCTAATTTAGTTGTGAAAAACATAAAACAGAGACTAAAATATAACATACAAAACAGATTTATAGGTACATAAAGAATGTGTTATACAGCTGTTAAACTGAACAGAAAACTAGAAACAATTCAAATTAGTTTCACACTTAAAAACTTCACTAGTAGAATGTTTTGCAATTATTTTTTATATTATGATATAGAAAATACAAGTTCTAAAAAGTGACACAAAATGGCATTTTAAAAAAAGAAACATTTCTAAAAATAATATCAAAAGTCTTAAAATCTAACACCATGTCTCAAAAGTCAGCCCTCTTGAGAATCCATTCCAAAAGAGGTAAGAGACTGGGGTCAGGTGGTAATATACCTACCCACCAAGCACCCTCCTACCTCCTAACATATGTCTTTGTTAATGGCAAGTGTATAACAGTTTTGAGAATAGTGTAAATGTTCTTGTCCTTGCAAATAAAAGGAACTGCAAGTTTTTTTTTATTAAAATAAATGTTCAACCTGGAATCCAATAAGAAAAAGACTAAAATTTTTTACTACATAAAAATCTAAAACTTCATGTGCAAAAAATACCATAAAATCCTAACTGAAATGAAAAACTTGAAATAACCATAATGCAATAAGAAAACCAAATTTTGAAAACTGGGCAAAGGATGAGAGCAAGCATTTCATAACAACAGTATTAAAAATGGACAATAAAACTCTTAAGGATGCTCAACTTGTCACAATTTAAAAAACACAAATCGAATTGATAAGTATCCAAAAATCTGACAATTCATAGTATTGTGATAAGTGTAAAGGAATGAATACTTATATCCTACTGATGGGAATGTAAAATAAATCTTCTGAAAGGGTAATATGCAATATCCATCAAGTTTGAAAATGTACTTATCTTTTGACTTAGCTCAGAGAAGTATGCAAAAACATATATTCAAGGATTTTCATAACACTGCCTGTATTAGCAAAAATCAAAACCAAAAAGCTAGAAATGAAATCACTACCCATCAGTAGCAAAGAATCTACAGGTTCCCTAACTTGAGCAGAAACAGGATAATTTATATCTGAACTAATCAGAACAAAAGCCAGTATGTTCAGTGCACTTTACTATACCCAAAAGGCTTTTGTCATCTATTACAGTATTTAAGAGTATAAACCTAAGAAATTGCCCTCATTTTAATCAGCAATTTACAAGACACAAAGTTAAGGTGGAAAAAAGAGATGAGACAAGGAAATGCCAATTTACATTACCACATATTCACTGAATGGAATACAAAAAAGAAGCAAATCATAAAAAAATATGTGGTATGATACATTCATCTTTTTAAAGAGAGGGGTAGACCCAAATGTGATTACATCAATTGGAAATTTCAAGAAACTGATAATAATCATTAAAAAGAATAAAAATGGGAGTCAAAGAGGGGTACAATAACTTTTCAGTTTACCTCCTTTGATACTGTACTTTAAAAAAATTTTTATAACTTTTTTTATTAAATAGAGGCAAAATATTTTATTCAAAGTAGATCCTGAGACTAAAATAGAAGCCAGTTTTCTTTCATCTCCCTCTGGTGGCAAAAGTTTTCTCAGTCATACTACAAGAGCAAAGGGCATTTGATTTACCTCTGGTCATCTAGACAAGACTAACTGGGGAGAAATACTTTTTTTTTTTAAATCTGAACTTTGTAACACTGAAAGAAATGCATGTTTAGTACTTTCAAGTTGGCCCCGGTCAAATTTCATAATTTTCCATTTAAGAAAGTACAACTTATTGAAGTCTCACTATACTAAGTCTGAGTTCATGTGTAAAATATTGCACAAAATATGAAAACCACAGTTACTGTGAAATGCTCAGTAATAATCCTTTTTCACCTCTATTTCTCACCTGAAACCCAAGTTACTGAGATTGGAGAGGGACTTGGTTAGAGGTTTCCCAAAACAAAGAAGGCTTTAATGTGTGTGTAGTATCACCTAATAGGCTCCTCTTCTAAAGAATGAGCCTCTGTGGCGATTAGTTGTCTACACATAGGCAGTCATTCCGTTTTAAGAATTCCCATAGAGAGGATAATCATGGAAGAGCGTTTAGTTTCCTGCAGAGCAATTTATCCTCTAAAACTGGTAAGTCATGGCCTGCCTCCTGATAGTTTTCCCCACTTTTAAGTGGTCACTGAAAACCTGTCTCCTCTCTTGAACAGCTTCTGTCCAATTCCTTCATACAATCTCTCGTTAGGGGCAGCATACAGAAGGTACTCTTTCCTGGAGAACAAGAAAATGAGCCATAAGCCCACACTATACTGTTCTATTTAATCATAATAAAATTATATGGAGTACAAAAATTTATACCAACTCTAATTACTATTTACTTACTTCAAGCAACCAGTAGGTAAATACTTTTACAAAATTATTCTCAATAAACTTACAAGATCTCAAACATTCAGACAATCTCCCTTTGATTTTAGTAAAGTCAATTATAGGTGACTATGGTTATTCTACACTTTCAATTGAATTCCTCTAACCACCTCCTTTACATTCTCACCTTAGTTCCCCAATTTTCCTTCCTTTCCAATAAGAGTTACTGGCTGTGAAATGCTACACATCCTCTGCTCCCTTCCTCTTTCACAAATATCGCCTTCCTTTCTTGCTTCTTTATTTCATCCTTTCTTCCAGTGGACCCTTTGATACATTTTTTTCATTAAGTTAAATTTATTTTATCTTCTAATCATGTAAATATCATTAAATGAATCTCCAGTAGTGAAACCCTCATCCAAATACTTTTGAAGCACAAGAAAAACAAAATTGATTACATGTATTCTATTTGGGAAATTAAAAACACTAATTTATAAATCCAAAGAAATTAAAGATAATTCACACCAGCAACAACAACGAAAGGCAGAAGGAAAAAACGGAGCTAATAAGCAAAACTTACTAAGAATCAAAGCAATGCAGATTAAAACAAAATTTAATTTGTGGCCTAGCAGTCAAAAAGAAAAGATTAAAAATTAATAGTACACAGTTGGCTTGGGATTAGAAAAAGGTATAGCATTTCTAGAGGGCAATTGTGCTCTGTGGCTTCATAGCCTTATGCCTGGGAGTTTACCCTCAAGAGAAAATCAGTCAAGTTCACAAAGATGTATGTATAAGGATGTCCAACATAGCCCCATTTAAAATAATGGAAAATTTAGAATTTAAAAGCCCATGAACTGCATATTATGGTACATTCACAAAAGAGAAAACAATACAACCTTTGAAAAGATTATGTTTCTCCATATCTACTGGCAGCGAAAGATTCCCCAAAATATACTACTATAGAGTTGTAAATAATAGGTATAATATGATCCCTGTTACAGAAAATCATATAATTTATGCCTATATATGAAGAGAGAGTTTAGATGAATGTTCATCGAAATGTTGACTCTGGCATGTGGGACTTGAAGACATTTTTCCTTTCTTTTTTTATTTGAGGTGAAATTCACATAACATAAAATTAATCTCTGTCTTCTAAGCTTTTCTATATAATTTGAATTTTTTATAATGACTATATACTTTTGTAAAGAGAAAAAAAATTTTAATAAAGATAAAATAGCCTAAGTAGAGAGTATCTATAAACTAACACTATAAATAAGAAATACAAGTACTAGTTTCCATCATTAAAATAACTATATCTTATATAATGCTTTGTTTACCAACAGCACCTCTAATTTATTCTTATAGTTATTAACACATCACACTTGACAGATATACTGAAGGAAATGACTATTACTAGTTGATATGGTCAATTTAAAATATAGCAAATCAAAATAAAGAATTTCTAGTATACGATAAATTTTAGTTTCAAAAATTTAATTCACACAGAATTTCTTAGACACATATGCTATACCTTTATAGAACAGACTTACCAGAACAGCCCAGTTGTTTGTGTGGCCGCTTCTAAAGAACTGCTCTGCTTGTTCCTATCAGTCAAATAATAGCAAAAAGATTAGGAGCAAGCCACATTTCCCAGACTAAAGGATGGCAAAGGACAGACAAGATTCACGGAGTTTTACAGCTGTAATAACAATAAGTCATCATTTTATAAGTTTATGAAGATGCTAGTTTTTGACCTTATGAAGGACCTATAATGAGTTTTATTTTTTTGTTAAGGGGCATAATCTGGGGGAGGGGCTGTCTGTTTTTAAACATTTTATCCCAGTCATTTCTTATTTATAAGCTTCTAGTTTTCCATTCAGTCTTCAAACTGTGAATGACTTATTTCATATCTTGATTCAAAACATAACAATTAATATCTTTCCTGTTGAAATTACAGTCAACATTCATCCATACTCTGTGCTGGGTGCTGCCAATTCTTTATTTGAACTCACCAATGTATTTGACAGAGCACATTCTCTGGCATACTGCCATGTATCATTTCACCAATCTGTTAGAGTGAATCTGAATTATATGTGCTAGCATAAAACATTAAAAACCTCACCATCCAAATACCTAATGAACATGACTTTCATTACATATTAAAATAGTAATGAATATAAACCATAATTACCTCAGATCTGCTCCCAAGCAGTATTAATTACTAGCTCAGTCAGACTGGCTGGATTCGAATCTGGGTCCTATGACTTACTACCGGCATAAACTTAGGAAAGCTGCTCAACTTCTCTGTGCCTCCATTTCCCCATCTATAAAATGGTAATGTTATCTAACTCACAGAATATAGGAAAGGTGCCTGGAACCTAGTAATTGTATAACGAGTGTTAGCTGTTTTAATTTTCAGCTGGCAAGAAATTTCAGGGAGAATGAAACAAACAAAAAATTCACTCAAATGTGTGTGTCATATACACACATACACATACACACACACATTTTAACCTTTCTCAACAGCTACCTAGATGCTTAAAAAAAGCAATGTGCTTTAGTGATAAAGCACTTGTTTAGGGATTTGAAGATCTGGGTTTTAGCCCAGGTCATATCCCTCACCTGTCGGTACTGGGGTAAGTCATTCAGCTCTTTAGACTTGACTTTTCTTGTGTACAAAATGAGAGCTGAATGACCCTTCCACTTCCAAAATTCTTACATTATTAGGACTTTAGGGAAAATGTTGAGATGGTAAAACTCTTTTGTGATTGTTTAAACAATATAGGCACTGCAAAGTTACTTATTCATTCTATGTATAGTTAGTGGAGCACCTACTATGTGCCAGATACCATGTAATGTACAGTAATACAAAAATCATTGAGGAGCATGCTGCTTTCTCTCAAGAATCCCAGAGTTCAATAAAGAAGACAACCATGCAAACACAATACACTACAATGTAACATTTATTCATTCATTCATTCATCATTTCATTGGAGCCATGTGCCAGTCACTGTCCTGAGTGCTCAGAATACAATGATGGGCAAAAACAATCATAGTACTTGCCTCCAAAGAGGTTACTATCCTATTTGCTAGATACATTAAGCAGATTACAACCTATAAATTCTATAAATGTAAGATATACAGTATCATGAAAGAGTATAAGGGGGTGGAGGAGGGTTAGGGAAGGTTTCCCTAGAGAAGTGGTATTTGGGTTAGGATCCAAAAGATGAAGAAAAGTGGAAGGATAGTTCCAGACAAGGAAACATGGGCCCTAATGGCAGGTGGGGCTTAAAGGTTTTGAGAAACGGAAAGATTAGCATAACTAAAAGTTTGAAAGGGAGAGAGAACTGGGGGTGTAGGCAGGGGTCAAGGTATGCAGGGCCTTGTTTAAGGGTCATAACAGACATTGTGTTCTTTACCCTTAAAGCAATGTTAAGACGTACATGGGTGACAAGATCAGATTTGCACTTTTAAGAGTTACTCTGGCTGCAGCTTGGAGAACAGACTGGAAGGAAGAAAGAATGGCTTGATGTGGACTAGTTAGGGAGCTATTGCACTACAAGTGAAAAATGATGAAATAATAGTACAAAGCATACATGGGTTTATAATCGATGAGTGTTATACTAGCTTAATGTACAAATTACAACAGTAAAATCAAAGGGATAGAGAAAGGTTCTAAAGAAGTTACGCTTTTACTGTATCTTAACAAATGGATAGAACAGAAGGTATAAAACATGGTAATGTGAAAAAGCACAGTAACAGTCAAAAAAAAATAAGAAAAAAGAGTAATGATATCCAAAATGAAATATACAAGATAATCCACTAGAATAAAGGAGCAAAATAGAACCTCTATTCATATTTACAGTATCTCAAAAATATGCTTTATAAACACTGAATATGTAAATTGGCAGTAATTCATTAATAGATAGAGTGCATGCTCAATATCCTTTTAAAGTCTGGAGTCCACTGGTCTAAGCCGAATGTACTGAGGTGGTGGGCAGAATGGGCTCCAATGTGAAGGCTGGAGCAGCAGACAGAGGCCGGATCATGATGTTAACCTTATTCTGTATGCACTGGAAAAGCATTGAAAGGATTCAATCAGAAGAACCCGATCAGGTTTACATTTTATGAAGACTAATCTAGCATCTTAGTGCGGGGGGGTTGGAAGCCTGGGGTAAAACAAGATAAAGTAACTGCAGTAGTCTAGGCAAGAAACGACCAGGCCTGCATTAAGCCAGCGGAACGAAACAGGTAAAAGCAATTTTAAAAGTTCAGAACACAGAATTTAGCTTTGATTAAAAAGTGAGATAGAAAGAGAGGATTTTGTTTTCTTTTAAGCCCCAGGTTTCCAGCCTAGGAGCGACCCCATGGGAAATGGGGTGGACAGAAGATTAAACTTTGCACACTTTTCCAAGTGTCTGATAGGTCCGAAAATGATGCTAGAGATCTAGACTGCATCAGAGCGCAGGGAACAGTAAAAGCGTTAAGAAAGGCCAGCACGTCCTGCGAGCCAAAAAGAACACACTGTACCCGCGGGACTCCCGTAAAGCGGAGCGCGGTCGCCGAGCAGGCAGGTGAGCGCCGCGCTCCGCGCTCCCACTGCACCTGCTGGGGCTACACGCCGGCGGCGCAAAGGGGCAGGTCCTCCCCCGTCTCCCAGGGTTTGATTCTTTTAAACTCCTCGTTTTCAAAAGCTGAAACAGACCGACGTGTCCTACGCCACCCCCGGCGACGCCCTCCCACAGCCCAGTCGCCTCGGAAGAGGCTAACGACTCCAGGAGGCGCCCCTCCGCGTCCGGGCACCGGCCGTCCGCTGGGGCGCTCACCGCCACGACAAAGCCGTCCTCCCAGGGCCCGGGCGCTCGGAGGGCCGGACTCCTACCTCGATCTGACTAGTGGCCAAGCTGCCGAAGGACAAGAGCAACCACCCGGCCAGGGCAGTCCCACCCCAGCCGCAGGGGCAGGCGCCGACCATGTTTGCGGATTTCTGCCTCCCGCACCTGGAGGGGGCGGGGCGCGTGCCGTAAAGCAGCGCGTCTGGTTTTGCGTGTTTTTGCGACATCAGCCTCCGGTCCTCGAGGCCGGGCTGTCTCCCAGCTTTAGGAAGTCGGCGCATCCCCAGCCTGGAGCTGCCTGCGTTGCTGGGTGAAGCTGGAGGGCGTCGGTCCTTTTTCTTAACTGCATTTCCAGTTTTTACATGGTAAAATAGGTATAAAGTTGACATACAAGTTTGAAAGGCGAGGAAAACCTGTGACCCCATAAACTTGCAGAAGCGAATTCCTTTTTCGCGTAGTGCTGCCAATTCTTTGGATGTGTGAATCAGGATGCAGTGGGAAGAGCCAGCATGTAGGCGCGAAAACGTGATTCACTGGGTCAGTTGCAAATAGAAACAGGTGGGTGTTGCCACAGGTTTGGGGTCTATTACTTATGAAGTATGAACAAGTAGGAATTAGTTACATTTTTGTTTCTTCCGTAATTGTGAAGCTAAAACTTATCTCAAAGACAGTCTGAGGATTTAATAAGATGGTGTATATTTGTTTAGTTATGTTCATTATATGCATTCAATTTTAAATTCTGTTTTTCAAGTAGCATGACATAAACGTGTTTATGTTGTGTCAAGGTAAGGGCTGTCCGAACCTTTTAGAATTTTTATGAGTTTATTTGAGCCAAACTGACGAAAACTGCCAGGAAGCAGAATCAAAGAGGACCTAAGGGGGTCACATGAAATCCATTGGTGATATAGGTGGGAAAAAGCAAAACGAGGAAATCTCAGGGATTCGATAAATAGTAAAACAAATAGAAACATACTTCTTTTACATTGATGGGTAGACCATAGTTAATAGTTAACAATTAACATGATAACAACAATGAGGGGTTCTGTGGTCTCCTGCTCTCTTGGGACACTGTGCCCTGAGGGGTCTGAAAAAGGGAAATTATCCTGACATTATGCCAAAGGTATGTTTGCATAGATGCAAAAAGACAATAGGCTCAGTTATAAACATTGACCTTTGTCAAGGAAGATATCAGCCTAGGACTTAACTACCCGCTGTGACTGGCTTTCAGTTAGTAAATTTTAATTTCAGACCAGCCTCTATGGTCACTTAAGGTCTCAGAGTTTGTAAGGCCTACCATGCAGGCCTCCATGGAGCTTCTCAGATTTAGTATATGGCCCCTTCTGTGTCAACAGCGGCTTCATAATCTTCACAATTTTAACATTTAATTTTAACATGGAATTCCATCCCTATGGATGCCTTGGCCAAACCAATTACCCTTCTATTGGACAATATAAATTTTCTAAGTTTTACTATAAAAATATTGTAAAGAATATCTTCATGCATTTGCTTTTAACGTTTGTTGAATTATTTGCATAACTTTTCTATAATGGAAAACTTGAGTTAAAAGATACAAAAATTTTAGTGGCTATCGATGTTGCTTTCCAAAATGTACAGATTTACAGTGCCATCAATATATACAACCTAACAGCAAATTAGGCCATTTTTTCACCTCTAAATTCTGTGGTACAAAGTTCCTTCAAGGTTGTTATACTTCTAGTTCTTTGCTTACTGTGAAGATCTAATGTCTTCCCTTGTGTCCATAAACTGTCTGTATGTCCTGTAATGTAAATTTTGTTTATAGCTTTGTTTTACATAGGAATCTGAATGAGGTCTTTATAAAAAGTTGAGATTAACCCTTGTCATATTTTATGCTATTGCACTGCCCAAGGAACCACTGGCCCATTCTCTACAAATCATTAGGGGAAGAGATCCAACAAAGAGGAAGATGGGCTCGTGCACAGTAAAGTCAGGATGACATAGGGAATATGCCTGTCAGTCAAACCTGGGAACAGAGCTCATTGGCCAGAGTGAGCAGGGCCAATACAAACCCTAGAAAATTTGGGAATACATAGTCCTCTAGAGTCCTAGAAAAAGGAGATCCGGCTCTGGGAGCTCTTGGCTCTTGGTTCTTTGCTCCCATTTTATTCCTGCCTGTGTTCCCTCCATAGCCATGTGGCACTGTGGACCCCACACAATGGACTGATGGACTGCAACTGGAACATATATTAAGCTAGCTTAGTGCTGGACTGCACCTGTGCTCCAGCATGGAATGAAAACTGAGCTACGGCTTTGATCCTAGCTCTCCTGAAGCCACAGCTACACTTCTGTGGTGGGACAGAGAGAAATGGGATCTTGGATATTTGGGTGTAATTCCACAGAAATAAAGCTTTCTACAATATCTCATCCTCCTGTGCAAGTGTCAGGAAATTCTTTTTCTCTGGGTATCGCAAGGAGCTCTCCCCACTGATAACAGTAAAAATAATTAAAGCATAAAATAATACAATACCATGAAAAGAGTAAAATAATTCTGTATAGTATAAAATGAAAAGTAAAGCTGTCCTCAGTCCTCATTTACAATCCCTCTTCCCAAAAATTACCATCTTCATTTGTTTATTGAGTATCCACCCATCCAGTAAAAATTGTTTGTACTGACATATGTCATCACTTTTTGAAAAGTACACACCACACACTCTTACACACAGCTCTCCCTCATCTCATGCCATGGCCAGTACGTCCTTGATGGACATTAAGATCATTTCAAGTGGGGTTTTTTTTAACGTTACCAGTTTTTAACTGATAACATTATCAGTCTCTGAGTATTGAGACTATGAACATTCTATTTTCATTTATCCATTTATCTCTCAAAAGTTATTTATTGAGATTCTACTCTGTGCTAGAGAATATGTTGGGAACTGAGAATACAGTTGGTAATAAGACACACACAATCCCAGCCCTCATGGAACTTAGACATAATAGAGAAAGCAGATATTAAGTAGATAATTACACAAATTATTAACGAATTCTGATAAATTCAACAAAGGAGAAGTACAAGTGACATCATGTATCAGGGTAGCCTAACTAGTCAGGGAATGCTGTCCCAAGAAACATCATGTAAGAACTAAAGGATAAATAGGAATTTACCAGAGATGGGAAATAAATTTTTCTTATTTTTTAAAAAGAGCACATATCACTTTTATTATCATAAATAATGAATACTTTTAGTGTTTTTTAAAGGAATAGCTAACATTCCTCTTTCTCTTTCTATCTGGTAACAGCTCAGTGCTGGAAATGGTCTGTTCACTTGGCTTGATTTAGCCAAATTTAGTTTAATGATCAGACATTCTCCTTCTCTCTCAAATATTTCAGTCAAATGAAATACTTAAGTTAATAAATTGAAGCCACTGGACAAAAAAGTAAAATAAAATAATGATTAAATAGCCTTCTTGTCCAAAGTTTGCATTAAGAAGCTATTAGATATATTACCAGTTGGCAGTCAATCTGTGAAGAAGAGCTTGTGAAATGCACTTACTATGGACCTTGAATAAAATAAGACCCCAGATTCTTTGCCAGTTGAAGTTGTATTTTTATCAGATTAAGGAACATACATGAAGGAACAAAAGACAAAAGTTATTTTGAAATCAGCACAAAGTATATCACTAAAGGCATTTTTCTCAAAGGAATTCACAAATGAAATAACTAGATATTAAAAAATAAGAACTCCAAATTTTTCACCATTAAAATCTTCTGTTACAATTTTCAGATAAGTGGTAATTTTCCAAACTGTAATTGGAGATTACCTTCTGAAGGGGAGAGGGGAAAATAACATCTCTGTAATAAATGTGCCCTAAGGATGTTTGTCGTTAAGGAATAACATCTCTAGGAAAATCAAAAGGAAGAAAAATAGAACCTATTAATAAATACCATGCTACCAAAATGGTTAAATAAGTAAAATGTTACCAGTTTTCTTTAAATGATCCTTTTTGTTTGCTCACTTCTCTAGGTGTCTGTAACATTTCAAGTGGTGATTTTCTTCAATGAGAATCGGCATAAATGTGCCTATGTTTAACAAATAATATATCACAACGTAGAAATAACATAATAATGATGACATAATAAGTTATGTTATTTGCCAAAATTTGGAAGCAACAAAGATATCCTTCAGTAGGTAAATGGATGAGCTGTAGTACATCCAGACAATGGAATATTATTCAGCACTAAAAAGAAATAAGCTATCAAGCCATGAAAAGGCATGGAGGAATCTTAACTGTATATTACTAAGTGAAAGTAACCAATTTGAAAAGGCTACATACAATCAATCTATTATTCCAACTATACAACATTCTGAAAAAGGCAAAACTAAAGAAACTATTAAAATGGTCAGTAGCTGCCAAGGATTGGGGAGAGGGAGGGACAAATAGGCAGAGCACAGAGGATTTTTAGGGCTGTGAAAATATTCTATATGATACTAAAACAGTGGATACATGTCATTATACATTTATCCAAACCCATAGAATGTAGACCACCAAGAGTGAACCCTAATATAAACTATGGATTTGGGGTGATAATGATGCATTAATATGGGTTCATCAATTGTAACCACTGTGGTGAAATGTCTGTAGTGTGGGAAGTTGTATGTATGGGGATGGCGGGCGGAGGATATATGGGAACTCTGTACTTTCCACTGTTTTGCTGTGAATCTAAAACTTCTCTAAGAAGTAAAATCTATTAAAAAAATAAAGCACATCAATAAAAAGGACCAACTATGTTATTGTTACAAAACAAGAAAAGACAATTGGCAAGGGCCAAATGCAGTGAATTAATCTAAAAGGAAGTGACATGGTACGTCAAAGAAGGCAAAATAAGCTCATTATTAGTAAAAAAAAAAATAAAGCATATTTTAAAATGATGATTCTATGTGTGATATATAAGTTTATTGTAGTCGAGTGTTGTTTTAACTACTGACAAACATTTTTAACCACATCAGCTAACAAACAGCAAGATGGATAGATTTTAATAGCAAATAAGCAGAACAATTATATGGGACAGTTAGCTATATCTCAACACTTGACAAATTAATCAACAATGGAGAAACTCTTTGAAACATAAAATTTTTCACCAGTTTAAAAATTCTTCCCAGTGATGACCCTGAACTTAACCA